AAACATACCAATACCACTTGCCAAATTCCATTTTTCACAGATTGCTACTGATGATCTTTTCCTTCAAGGACTATGACAAGCTCAAGAGCTGCGACAAATACTGCAGCCCCACCTGTAAAAATCTTGTGCATTAATAAACAGCCACACGGTTAGGCTCTTCATGGTGTATAATTTTGTGAAAGGACTCCGCACAAATTCCCAGTTTACAGACCATTGTAAGCTCAATTGTGAGACATAAAAAGACAGTAATTAATTGAATCAGTGCTTATTTATATGAAAACGATCTGAACTTGAGGCAATAAAGATTCTGTTTCGTTTCAGAAGGCGCTGCTTGTGCATATTGCTTAAAAAGGTGCTTAGTAGTAAATAGGTAAGTTTTGAAGTTAAATAAGTTGATCGTTTATTTTGACATTAAGAGCATGTTTGAGAAAAGTTTAAAATCCAATTAAAATTGAAAAACTAGCCGTTATTGGATCCTACTTGTCTAATAAAAATCAACAATAACGGCTAGTTTTTCAATTTTAATCCGATTTTAATCTCTACCGAACACGCCCTAAATTCTTAAAATAATTAACTTTTATTACATCAAAATTAAAAATATAACTCATTCAGCCCCTACTCGATGAGAATTAAAAACAAATTTTTAGTAGATTATAATAAAAATTGATGAAACGTGATTCAAAAACTTATGGGTCCAATAAAATATGTGATTAAAATTAATTATTGACTTTAACTTAAATTAAAATTTAGATTTTAGTCTCTAACAAACAGGCGCTCAAATATGTCTAGGATAACCAGTAAAAATTACTTATTTTTAAATTTATTATTCTGTTTATAAGTAAACTTTTAAGTCTACCCAAACATGCTAAAACATTTCCAAGTAGACAAGTATGGATCTTTTAAAAAAAATGTTTGTTATTCGAAGTTAAAAATGAGCGTGTTACTTATTTTGTTAGTACTCCTAAGTTCCTAACTTCTTGCAAAAACAAGTAACTATATATAAAATTTAGGTAACATTTAACCTTAGACAAGCACGCACAAGTCAATATCGAAGAATAAGTCTTTCTAAGTGATTGAGTTTCTCGATTTTTAATTAATCATCACAAGTAACCTTGAGGGGTTGCTCAATTGGTCAAGCCTTGGGTTTGCTCCTCAATGGTCTCAGGGCCACTGAGGTAAGTACCCGACCGTAAACTTCATTGAGGGGTTGCTCAATTGGTCAGACCTTAGGTTTGCTTCCCAATGGTCACCAGTTCGAGCCCCCTCAGGGCCACTAAGATGAGTATCCGGCCGTAAACTTCAGGGCCCCGTGGAATTAGTCGAGGTGCGCGCAAGCTGGCCCGGACATCCACGGTTATAAAAAAAAAAAAAATTAATCATCACAAGTCACTTTAATAAAATTGTGACTACTCGAAAGACGTATTAGCAAAGAGAAGGGAGCTTTGCATGACTGCTGCAATTCCAATTTTATTCGAGTAAATGCTCAGTAAATGTTGATGGAATGAATCCATCCAACTTTTTATAGATCTCATTTCTATTAATTAATGCAGAATTAGTCTTTAAATGGGGTATATAAAGCATCCCAAAGTGAAAATTACCTCCAGTTAATAAGCAATCATGTCAAGAAATTTGAAAGAAGATGAAAATCGTCAGAATCTGGGTGAGTTTTAGTACGATATTATTGTATGTTTTTGTTATTCCATTCAATATAATTATTTAAAAATGTTTTGCAGGTTTAAAGATTCTATTATACAATAGTACTGAAGAAGAAATTAATCGAACAAAGCACGTAGTATCATGGAATAGCCTTCTTATTCCAATGTTTCTTAGGTATGCATTGCTCCTTCGCTTTGATGATTGCAATTAATTACCTTTATGATTGCCTAATCCGATTCATTTTGGTAATCCTAGACTGAATATGGACGATGGCGAGGAATTGACAGAACAGGAAACCACCCTTTACGATCGCCAAATCCGAGTCTGGGGTGTCGATACTCAACGAAGGTAGAATTTGGAATTCAATTAGAATCCAAATATATTATCGGTAGCTTTTAAATTTGTGTTGGAATCCAAATAACTTCAGGTTGAGCAAATCTCGCGTATTTGTCAGTGGAATCAAAGGTACCGTTGTTGAGGTAAATTTTCAAAGAAAAAGAAATCCTCATTGTTGGTTAGGACATTGTATGCACTACTGATAAATGACTAGGGAAAATCGTCGTTTGTTGCAGTTTTGCAAGAATATTGTACTAGCAGGAGTAGGTAGTTTGACAGTAAATGATGACCGTACGGTGACTGAGGAATTGTTGTCTGCCAATTTCTTAATCCCTCCGGACGAGAATGTGTATGGTGGGAAATCTATTGCTGAGCTCTGTTGTGATTCCTTGAAAGATTTCAATCCTATGGTTCGTGTTTCGGTTCAAAAAGGTTGTCTCCTTAATGTCGTTTGTTCTGCAGTGTCTTGTGTGATTCATTTTTATCTATTCCTTCTTTTCTCACTAATTAGCCCTTTGAATATGAAAGTTAGGCAACTAATTTTGATTTCTTCTACACTCAAATTTTGCAGGTGATTTGTTAAACTTCGATGTGGATTTCTTTGACAAGTTTGATGTTGTAGTTGTCAGTTCTTGCTCACTTTCAACAAAGGTAAGGAGTTGATCTCTCTTAAAAACATGTAAATATATGGAACACACGTATATATTAGATGTTTATCCGTTGCGTATATCTTTCAATCTATTATCTTAGAAGCATCCATAAATTTTCTTTAGAAACTTATCTGCTGCAGATATCAGTTAATGAGAAGTGCCGCAGATTGTCAAAACAGGTTGCATTTTATACAGTTGATTGTAGAGGCTCCTGCGGTGAAATATTTGTTGACTTGCAGAATTACGTCTATTCCAAGGTTATTCTCTTCTTAGAACTCTTCAACTACAATGCGTTATTTTTGTTTATTATGCCTCTGTTACAGTTTCTGTTTTTTATTGAACCCACAAGTACTATCCATTTGTCCATTGCTCATTTCTTGAAAAGTAACTTCTTAGTTAAAAAAATTGAAACCCGAACAGAGACTACAATGTATAGAGCAGGGACAGATTCTAAGGAGCAACTCTTAAACTCATATTCTTCCTCTCTGTTGGCAGAAAAAATCTGATGAAGAATGTCTACTAGAATACTCAAGTTTTGAGGCAAGAAACGTTGATCTCTTCTTCGACTTTGTGTTATCTAATTTAGCTGTGAATTGTTTGCTTCTCCAGTTATAAAGTGTCTGTTATTTCCCTTATACACCAAATATAATTTTGTTGAGAAGTTCAGTGACATCTCAATTTCTGCTTGCAGGAAGCTATTACTATCCCATGGAGAACTCTTCCGAGGGGGTTGTCCAAGTTATATTTAGTTATGAGAGGTGTAATTTTGAACGATTTATTTCTTGTAATAGAATGGTTGAAGGACAAGATAAAGAGTGAAACTGTAAATCCGTGTTTGGCGTATTTTCTTTCTGTTTATGATTGCTCTCGGAAGGAGGCCTAGTTCTGAATTCCAAAAATGTTTCAGTGATAGAGCAGTTTGAAGAGATAGAAGGGCGCAATCCTGGAGAAATTTCGTCTGCTGACCTCTTGAATGTTCAAAGGTTGAGGAAGAAACTTTGTGAGATAAATGTATATATCTTCAATTTTTTCTTTTCATTTTTCATTGTGTATATCCTTTGTCTCCCTATCCGAGTTTATATCTGTCGTGCAGTCGTTGAATGAATCAGAGATCCCTGATTCTCTTCTTCAGAGGCTGTTAGAAGATGGTACAAGAGAATCTTCTCCTGTTTGTGCCATAATTGGTGGAATTCTTGGACAGGTATCAGCATTTTAGCTTCCATCTTGAGGATACTTTTGTGCCTAGCAGCATGTTTGGCTGAGCTTAATTAATTACTCGTCTTTAGGTTTATGTTTGTCATAAGCTAAAAGAGTTTACTTATTTTGACAGTAAATGATGGTTACTTTCTATGTTGTGTAATCACTCATTGATTTATCTATATGTTATAGGAAGTTATTAAAGCAATATCAGGTAAAGGAGATCCTCTCAAGAATTTCTTCTTCTTTGATGCAATTGATGGCAAAGGCATAATTGAAGACATCTCTCATGTGCAAGTGCTCGAGATGGAATTCAGAATGGGATCTGTCTTGAGTGTTGAAAATATTATAGAGATACCGTATTAATATATATTCCTCGCATGAATAATAAGACTGGTTCGATGTTTGATAATAATTCACATTCGATAGATACATCCTGCATAAATTATTCCAAATTAAATGAACAATAATAGTAAAGGGATGAGCTTCAACTACGAGCTCAAGCAAAGTCAATAGGCCATGTTTGATAAAGGACTTTTTCCATGGAAGTGGGAAAAAGGAATCCATTTTCCAACTTTGAAGTCATTTGATAGACAATACTTTGCTTAGAATTCATTTTCTACTTACCAACCTCACGCGCAAACTTTCTTGCTTTTTAAGGAATTTGTTTTCTTTGGTTTTTTGGTGGGAATATGATTTTCCGTCCTTTTTTTTATTTGCAATTAGAACAAAAATCTATTCATTCAATTTGCATGAAAAATAAAGTCAAACGAACACAAAAAAATTTCAGATTTTTTTTTTCTTTTTGGCAATCCAAACAAATTTTAATATAGATTATAAAAAAATTAATCCCAAAAAGTAACAATTTGCATGAAAAACAAAGTCAAACGGATTAGATGGAAAATTATATCAATCAAACACAATTAATTACAATTTCCAGTAAAAAAATTTCTAGACAATTCAATTCCCTAGAATTCATTTTATTTTCACCTATTTTTCACATTTGTAATCAAACGGACCCTTCGATTTTTCTAGAAAATTACACCAGAATATACACATTCAAGTGTGTGTAACATTGTCCCTCCTACAAAGATTATGTTAAAATGAATGGATAGTTGGACATTAATGCTGAAGAGTGGAGTGTCAGTGACAAATGCGAGCAAAGTCATTCAATATTTCAATAAAACTCGAGAAAGCAGGTTTTCTTACATGTGACTTGTCTGTTATAGCTTTTTTATAATTGTTTGAGCCTAGTGCATCGTCCACTAAGTGCGAACTGATATATCAACTGACATGCTTGACATATATCCAATGGTCCAACCACTCATTCAGTATTTCATTGCCCCATGTTCTCAAGCAAGATTCCATTATCATTTACTTTCGATTTCGATTTCGTTTTCGCTCTACACATAAGCTCCTGTTTGATTTAGCTAAAAAATTGATAAAATTTAAGTCAAATCATTTTTCATAGAAATCACAACTTATATCAATTTTTAACCACACATTTCATCAATTTTTTTTTTCAAAATCTACTTAAAATTTAATTTTTAATTAAACCAAACATAGGTCTAATCTCCTTTATATAACAAAGATTATAATCTAAAAAGTTATGGGATCTTAAATTTCATAGATCACTACTTGGAGAAACTTCAATGCGACAATGTGTATTGTTATACATATAGCAATGTACATGAGAGATGATGCAAAGAAATGATGAAGATAAATTTTAAATCGACGTATCCTCGCATGAAAATTGTTGACCTCGAAAAATGGTCAACTGACATGCTTGACATATATCCGATGGTCCAAACAACTTGAATGGTATTCAACCACTCATTCAGTATTTCATTGCCCCATGTTCTCAAGCAAGATTCCATTATCATTTACTTTCGATTTCGTTTTCGCTCTACACATAAGCTCCTATTTGATTTAGCAAAAAAATTGATAAATTTAAGTCAAATCAATAATTAATTTTTCATAGAAATCACAACTCATATCAATTTTTAACCACACATTTTATCAAATTTTTTTTTCAAAATCTACTTAAAATCTATTTTTTAATTAAACCAAACATAGGTCTAATCTCCTTTATATAACAAAGATTATAATCTAAAAATTTATGGGATCTTAAATTTCATAGATCACTACTTGGAGAAACTTCAATGCAACAATGTGTATTGTTATACATACAGCAATGTACATGAGAGATGATGCAAAGAAATAATGAAGATAAATTTTAAATCGAGGTATCCTCGCATGAAAATGAATTGTAAATGCTATATAGTACAACATTCACATGAGCTAGACATTCTCCACATTTTTGCTTATCACTAGTCGAAGCACGTGCAATGCACGTGCTATGATGTAGTTGAGTAAGTAATAGCATAAGTATTAAAAACAAATATCTATGTCAAACATTAGTTACATAAAATTTTTTTTATAAGTTACTAAATGTTTCGAGGCAACATTAAATGTGGAGATGAAAAAAATCACACCCACAGTTATCGAAGAAATCGAGGCTCACCTTCCACCACAACCTCCAATTATTGAAAAATGTCTTCTTACGAATCTCCGATAGAACAGTCATTGCAAATTATTTCATACACCCCTAATCAATTTTTAAACAAAAGAACAGGAAAAAAACTCAAAATAAACAACTAATAAACCCAAAGAAATTGAAAAAAAGCCATAAAGCCATTTTTATATTTTAATAATCGACAATATGTTTATTATTATCACATTTTAAGTTTTTTTAAAAATTTTGAAATTGATCCAAATGGATATTCATATCGTGAAATATCGAATCAAACGAAAAATT